ACTCGGTGCACTCCAGCAGGCGCCCCAGTCCACTCCACAGGAGCGGGTTTGGAGGACGGCGAGGCACAACGTGAGCCGCCTCCTCACACGAGTGACGGCGRTCTAGAGGAGGGAGAGRTTGCACCCACTCCCACTTGTGGAAAGGACGGGGAGKACGAACGTCCTCCGACGGACCACCACGTCGGCCTCGACTGCCCGCCCGACAGTCTTCMGCCCACCGACGAGCTATTCACCATGGATTCTGCCTTGGCATCTCTGCCCGATATATCGCTACTGATATCTCCCACTTTGCCGGTTGTGGCACCACCGGAGCTTGCTGGACGAGATGACGCGCGTCGTGACAGAGGGTTCGACGAGTTCGGCGGCGACACGATACTGCATCCTCCAGAGTCCGGCACTCCCGTCATTTTTCATGTCGGTGCACCGTGGGCGGTGGAGCAGGGGTTGGCGGAGGAGGTAGCACGAAACCGTCGTGGTGGACCGCACGTCGCAGCTCAACGTAGTCTGGAAGGTTCACTAGAGGCAACTTTAGGAGATTTTTTGGCACAGGGGGGTCATGGTTCGCAGTTGTTATCGGACGACGTGTCATCAGTCCATCCACCAGAGGAGGGCCCGCAGCAAGAGCCACATTTAGGGCCAGCGGAGACTTTAGAGGCGAGGCCTCCCAGAGTTATCCGCTCGGACGGAGGCGAGGGCGTGAGCGAGGATACAGCGCAGCCAGGGAGCGCAGATGGTGGACGGTCCTTCAGGGGGGGCATCGAGCGCAAAGGGTCATCGACCGCACACCCCAGCATTGTCAGGCACAGCACACATGACGTTGGAGACGGGCACACACATGAGCCTCGACCACATTTGACGGGGATGCGGGATATTATGTGTCCACCACCCTCACGCCCCTCTGCCGCTGATCCTGCCACCCACGGGCAGGCCGCGCCGAGCGCATTGCCTACGAGGTCTTTCTACGACGGTGCGGGCATGGACCGGAGGGCGGGCGATATCGGACAGACATCAGCATATGGACCGGCAGATGTGCCCGCGGGGGCGCGATCAATCGGCAACGTCGACGGCACTTGTCATGATTCCATGAGAGCTTACGAGGAGCAGCATGGGAGGCCTATACGGGCCAAGACGAGCGATGTCAACGACACCAGGACGGCAACTGCGAGGCTGTCACGGGCGAGGAAGAAGGGAACAGGTGTGTCGATTCCGTATCACCGGCGCCGCCTGCATCCTTTTTTCCGCAACAGGGACGAGACCAGACAGATGCCAGCTGCCGCAGATGGACAGGGGGGGGCGGAGGGAGGTGACAGAGTGGACGAAGCAGGTCGAGGTGAGGATGAGGACTGGACCTGGCCCGGATGGTCATTGCACCCCAGCGACACATTTGCCGCCTATTGATCGACGGGCGCAAGCTCGTTCTCTGTTGCGCAAACTGGGGGAGCAAAGACAGGCACGAGGGACATCACTGCCACATCAGCAGCC